ATAACTGTATGTATTCTTCCGTGCTCTCCATATTTATGTATTGATCTGTTTTTAGAATTATACATGTTAATTGAAAACTGCTTTGTAATCTCACAGTACAGCTATTATAGTTTTTTGAAAGTAAACATGTTTTTGTTGTGTTATTTTTTTTAAGGGCTTTTGCCAATTGGATTCCTTCCTCCTCTAGGATAACAGCAGCAAAAATGACTTCTTTCATCCTAAAATTTTGCTTGTTTGTTAATATTAAAAACCATGGGGTGAAAACAAGGAGTAGTTATCTGTACAAAAGAAGGTGAAGGACATCCAGGGATTGTGATAATTCCCTTATTGCAGGTTCGGAGACAGCCCAGGCCTTCTACCCCATGTTCTTTGGCCAAGAACACTTCTTTGAGGAGCTCTTCTGTATTTGCATCCAGCTGTTGAACAAAACCTGGAAGGAGATGCGAGCTACTCAGGAAGATTTTGACAAGGTAAGGCCCAGATGTGGATTCCAGTGAGCTCTAAAAGGGATACAGTTGGCTGATACATTCTTGAACTGCTCAGTTTTTCAGTACTGGGGATTTAATGTTTTCTTTTTCTTTCTAAGTTGCATTGTGTGTCAGTGTGAACTGGGCTGAAAGAGAGGTGTGGTAGAACAGTGGCATTCATTGGGGTCTCTGGTCTACCTGACTATCTTGGGGGTGATTTTAAAAAATGAGAAGATGAGAAGCTGCCAAGCGAACTGCCAGCTTTCCAGGATCGGCCCCACAGCCTTTCATAGCATGTAAATCTAATTGGTGGCCACCTATCTAGGTAAAAAGACAGAGGCTGGGAAGATATGAGGCCTCTTGGAGGATGGGCTTCTGGGAAGCAACTTCACACATTAGTCCTTTTGCGAATAAGATTTTGTGATCTCTACTACAGCAGTCCCTTTTTAAACACACACACACACACACACACAACCCTGGAGTCAGTTTTGCGAGAGTGTGTACAGCAGGCTTTCAACATTCCAGATATTCTTACTGGCATAAAAAGGTTGCCTGGTCTGTGCCTTCTCACATGGGCATGGAAAAATTAGATCAGAAGGAGTGGGCAGTGCTGGGATCCCATGTTGGGTGCTGCCTCTACAGAGCAGCTCTGTGGCCTTCCGGAAGTCTAGAAGCTGTCAACTTTCTGGATAGTGCCGAATTTGGTTTGATTTGATTGAAATGGATTATGCAGATGGAATTGGAACATGCCTCCCCAAAAATAAGTGAGAAACTGAACGGTGTTCTTTTTCCATAAACTTGCAGGACTGCATCCAATAGCATGTGTTCTCTATATAAAAGAAATCAGGAACCAGGGGAATGGGGATGGTATTAATAGTAATAGATCTACTGGACTTGTAATGCAAAGCAAATGCTTCTGCGCATGAATTACTAGGAAGCCAGAAAGTCTAGTCACTTAACTACAGTGGTTAATTAGCCATAATTGTGGCACATGTTAGCCAAAATTGGGGAAAGAGAGAAAGGGGACATGCAATTTTGACTGACAGCCCTGTAGTCCAGCGATGCCCTTCCTTTTCGCAATGGGCCCTTCTCTATGATTGCTGAACACTGATAACACCCTTTCTCGTCATTTCAAGGTGGGGGATACATTAAAAAAAAGCAGTGTGAGATCCAAGTTGTATCACAGTTAAATAAAAAGGACAGCCCCCGCCTTCCGCACCTCCCTATGCCCCAAAGTAGCCCTCCCCAGTCTGCAGCCCTGATCTCCCCAGATAAAATGCAGTCCCCAGCCACCAAAAGCTTGCCCACCCCATGTTAATCTTTGCCCCGTAGTTTGCATGTTGGAGGGACCTTCGCAAGCGTTTTTTGTTATGAGATGGAGGTGCAGGGGACACACCTGTGCAGGTAACTCTCTGGATCTTCCCCCAGGTGATGCAAGTGGTTCGGGAGCAGATCACCCGGACCCTGGCCTTGAAGCCCACATCGCTGGAACTCTTCAAGAGCCGAGTGAACTCCCTCAACTACAGTGAGATCCTGCGTCTCCGGCAGACAGAACGCATGCATCAGGAGGAAATTCTACCTGTCCCGGTCCTGTGAGTAAGGAGGCCTCCAGCTGTATCCCTGACAGATGTGTGTGTGAGAGAGGGAGGGAGGGAGGGAGAGAGGGAGGGAGACATACACCCATAGAACATGTAGGACTGAACTCTATTCGAGCATTTCCTGCCATCATGCAAAGAGGAACCATTGAGTTGTTTCCATGGACCGTGGACTTCACCTTATCAGAGATGGTCACCCATTGAGATAGCAGATACCCCTCAGTTGCAGGAAGGATTTTATGCTGCGTCAAATGTTGCTCTTTCTTCTTTGGTTTCACTCTGTTTTTCATCCCAATTAATCAACCTGTTTTTTGTTATGGTGATTTGTTATCTTTATTAGATTGCATTTGTCAGTTTGGATAGGTGCTTGCCTTTTGATACTTTCCCAGAATCTTTTCAAGGAAGGGCACTAAGTTGCATTTTAAATAAAGGAGACAGTGATTATTTTAATTCATTCTAGATAGCTTAATGCTCTGCCCTGGGTTGTGTACTTATTAGTTGAAACATAGTATAAAAAGAAAGCAGTATAAAACAAAACAGCCCAGTAAGACAAAATTATTCAGGAATAACAGCAGTGTATAAAAATCAGGAAGAGTAACAGCAGTAAAGCAGCCTTGTTCTAAAAACACGGGCATCTGTTACTGTTTGCATTTTAATGGATTCGTTTTCATCGTCCGTATTTTTGGGGTTTTTTTCTTTGTGGTGCTTGTTTTAAAAAGAAAGCTACATAGAGTATCCAGTGTGAACTGAAAGATGGGATGTTAAGGTGGGGTATAAATCAACGAAATAAGTAATGTTCCTGGAAGAACAAGATACCTGGCATCCAGAGGAACAAGAGTGTAGGCGTCGGGGATATTTTCCTTCTGATTCTTGGTGCCCAGCGCAGAGGCCTTCGCTCTTCTTGGCCATGCTGACTCTGAAATCTGGGAGTTGAAATCTGGGATCTATCGGATCTGGGGCACCAGTTTTAGAAAAAGCCCTTCATGGCAAAAAATTTTTTCAATGCCTTTGGAGGGTCACCTAGCCCAGGTTACAAAGGGCTGTGCTTCATTTCCTGCTTGCTTTCGCCCCAGGGAATTGAGAGAGCGGTTGAAACCTGAACTCATCAAGTTGATCGAGCAGCAGAGACTCCTGCATCTTTGCGAAGGGACCCTTTTCCGCAAAATTAGCAGCCGCCGTCGGCAAGGTAAAGCGCGAGGGGATGAATCGAGAAGAAACATGGGCCTTGAATATGACCGTGGTGGTTATTTAAGGAGAGCAACCCAGGGGGGCTTATATTTCCATGCTGGTTGAATTACATCACATCAGAGAGCCAAAGTTGGAAGTTGGGTGGGGTGTAGATGACCGTTTTCCCCTCCCAGTTGTCTAGCTTGCCAGCACCAGCCCTGAATCTGCAAGCTATTCCCAGAATCTTGCTCCAGAACTCACAGGGGAACTCTGCTCCTCGGTTGGGTATCACTCTAGGACTTTTAGCCAAGCTCTTCTGTTCCCAAATGCACTAAATATGGTACAGATAAGTCTGTCAATGGCTGTTTTACTCAAAGCCGGCCAAGATTCAGGTTCTACTTGATTTTTATCTGCTTTGTTCTCAATTCCTTTTTATGATAGGAAGCATCTGCTTATCTAGAGCTTTTCAGAAGTATTTTTAGGACTTCATGTTCTGAAGCATTGTTGGAAAATCAGTTGGGGGGGGAGGAGGGTGCTGCAGTTCAGTGCTTTGTTTGGAAAGGTGCCCATCTAGGGGAAAAAAAAAAGTTGGGGTAGCCAGCATCATGGGAGGAGCCAGGGAGTAACCAGGAGGAAGTAATCTCATTGGGTTGCCCTGATAAATTGGTATTTGTAATGGTCTGTGGAAATGATCTTGGGAGACAGGAAGAAGAGCCACAGCCTAGACAACTGTCATGCAAAAGGGATCTCAGCCCACAGAAGGAAAAGGGGCATGGGAAGCATTTCAGAAGGGACCCTCCCTAGTTTTCTGGAAAGTAAAAGTAAAGGAGGGTAGAAGTGCTTTTAGACTTGCAAGACTGATGTCAGCCCTTTGAGGTAGTCCAGATGGGAAGCACAGACCACAAGTACTAACACTGCCTTTACTGTAAGGCTACAGTAACAGAACCTTGCGAGAGATGGTGGGATCCATTGGCATTTGAAGATGGAGAAATCTGTTACAGGACTTGTGCTCTCAGACTTCTGAATCTGAGTTTGTTTTTCTCCTCTTTGGCAGATAAGCTCTGGTACTGCCGCCTTTCTCCCAATCACAAATTTCTCCATTATGGAGATGTTGAAGAAGGTGTTGAAAACCCACCAATAGAGGGCCTGCAGGAGAAAGGTTTGTGACAAATCCCCATCTTTGTAGGCTTATTTATCTCACGTTTACTCCCCAGGATGGTTAGCAAGGCTACTTGCTTTCCCTATGGCACCAACGGGGGCGGGGGGGAAGGTGGGAGTGGAAGGATTGGGTAAGGTGTGTTCAGTTGCAGTTTGCTCACTAAGTGCTTTCCTGATTAAGATCTTGTTCACTTATTGAGATCAGAGTAGCTCGACAGCAGTGTTTTTCAAACTTGGCAACTTTAAGATGGGTAGACTTCGACTCCCAGAATTCTCCAGCCAGCTGGCTGGAGTTCCACATGCCTTGATGTTGCCAAACTTTAAAAATACTGTTTTACAGTGTTCCCCACAAAGTCTGGCCCAGTTGGTGTGCAATGCTACCAAAAATCAAGTAATAAGATAAAGAAATAGGAAACTGGCATGCTGCAAGTAATATGCTACCTCCAGCATCTTCTTTGGACCTTATATGTTTTTTTAGAAAATAAAAATGATGGATAACCTACTGCCTTTTTTGGGGAGGGGAATGATGCCCACCAGTTTAAAATAAAAACTGATGGGGGGCAGGAAGTTTTCTCCTGACTGGCCATCTCCTGGTAAGAGCCATCTGGTGAGAGGACCCATGACATGCTTCCAAATTTGGTTGGTGTCCGCCAGTGCCAAAAAGTCTTTTTTTTCTCTGTGGCTTCAAAACCCCGGGCCAAATCTTTTGTATGAACCCACCTGTGCTGTGAAGTCTTTTGTTCTGTCCTGTAATCCTTCACAGAAGCAAATCAGAAGGTGAAATTGGCTTTGTTTACCCTTGTACCTTGCTTCCTCTGCCCTTCTGCTTCTCCGTCACTGATTGAGCAGAAAATAACCAGATGAAGCACCAGCTGCCATTCCTTCTCTCACCATTACATGATACCAGGAACTGGGACTTAAAACTAGAATTTGCTAGACAAGCCACAGCAGGAAATGAAGACTTGGGGGAAACTCCAAACTTCAGGGACTATGCTTACACAGCATCTCCAGCATCTTGTGGCTACTGAATTAACCCCTTTTTTTGTTTTTAATGGGCTTGGTAAGTGTGCTCTTGGAAGGCAACCAGAATACCTGCCTTTAACTCATGGATTTCTTAGATTTGAGGTTTTCATCTCTCTCATTGGGAATCTTCTTGGATCTAGGTAGGCTTTAACCTGCAAACGTCTTTTCTCTCCAGTTTCCGTGGCAGACATGAAAGCATTGCTTGTTGGCCGGGAGTGCCCCCACACCAAAGAAAAGAGTTCGGGCAAGCAGAACAAGGTCAGCATCGGTCTCATCTGTGCTGTCAGGATCTCCCCCACTTAAATCCCTTGCATCCCCCCCCAAAAAAAAGGACTGAGAAATTGGCCCTGCATATTCAAACAGGTGCTGGGGACTTCGTATAGCTTGCAGCCATTGGATAGTATCCTCTTCCTAGACCAAGGATTGTTCCTGCTGTTATATGATGATGTTGTTTGCCCCGGTAGTATTTTCTCTTTTGACGAAGGAAGGGTGGATAGGCAACTATCATAAATAAATGACTCAGTAGCTAAGTATTTCCCATTCTTTAGCGTTCCTGTAATTTGGAGGAGTTGGTGATGAGTCTAAGGCCCAGAACTGCAGAAATCTGGATAGGACACAGCCACTATGTCTGCTCTAACAGGATTTGACACACTATATTGAATGGAAAGATCCCTCATTTCTCATCAGCAGGAAAGTAGCACATCTACCCATTGATAAATAGCTCTCAGAAAGTTGTGTGAGGAAATCAGAAAAGGGACCTCAGCTAACAATAGAATAACAACAGACCCTGCCTTACACGTGGCTTTGTATCCTAGGTTCCTGGCGATCCCCGTGTAAGTCAACCAAGAGGTTGATTAGCAATATGATGACTGGATTCTTTGAATATACTAAATCTGGGTCAACAAAACACAGTTGTTGTGTTCATGTGTACTCAAATAGACCATAAAGACCTTAATGTGGCATATGGTACTCACAATGTACTAAGAAAGTGCCTGAGTTCCTGTCACATATTGACTCACAAATGACCCAATTCCAATTATTTCACTCTGCCAGCAGCTTAAAATGAGTACTGGAGTCCTTCCGTTATTCATCCTGCCCTCTCTCCTAAAACTCGTTTCTCAATTCTAGGATCTTCTTGACCTTGCATTTTCCATAAGTTACGATGTTGGAGAGCATCTGAATTTCATTGCGTCCACGCGTTATGAGGTGAGTTGCTGGGTTATAAAGAGAGCTGCTACAAATTCTGTGTGCTAAGCGTCAAATGAGAAGATAGCTTTGGGACAGTCTGCATTCTGCAGCTGAAATAAGGTGCAGATATGTCTAAACTTTGTGGTACACTCATTCTTGTGGTTAGTTTTGTCTTGTTTCAAAGTTTGAAAAACAAGTTGACTTTGACCTTATAAAGAGGCAGGAATATTCCCCCTTCTGGGAATATACAGGTAGTCTTTGATTTATGACCATTTGTTCAGCATCCGTTCAAAGTTATGGCGGTGCTGAGTGAAAGGACTTAAGACTGGTCCCTGAAGTTACAGCCGTTGCAGCGCCCCTGCAGTCATGTGGTCAAAATTCAGGCACTTGGCAGCCTGCCTGCGCTTAGAACCACAGGGGCACTTCAACTTAGCTAACGACTGGCGGAATTTGCTTAATGACTTGAATGAGGAGTGTCAGGATTGCCATTGCTAAGCAATGCAGTTATGTGATGTCTTGCTTTATGACTGCATAGCTTAGTGATGGAAATTCCAGTCCCAATTGTGGTTGTAAGTTGAGGACTACCTGTACAGTCAAGAGAAGACTGTGGAGGTAACTTGTGGTACAGGAAAGGGTTCGATTCTTTTAGCGTGCTGAAAATTGCGTCTTCACCCCTCAGCTTTGCATTTTTTTCAGATATGTTCTGGTTTTTACTCCTGACTGACTACGTTTTGCACCTGGCATGAGGCCATACTTGGCTTGTTTGATCTTGTATTCTATGGAACTTGCTGATGGTGGTTTGCCAGCTATAGCTGAGAGCTTTGCAAGATACACAAACCAGCTAACTATGGCTTGATCAGCAATCTTGTTTATGCCAACAGAAGCTTAGAAAGCTGTGCAAATCAAGCCAGCTGTGATGCACCTATTAAACCATGGTGAAACAATGCTTTGTGTGAGTCAGGTCACTGTAGCCCCTGGTTTCTTCCCTTTAAGAAAAATGTCTGTCTATTTCAGTGTATAGGCTGAAGGTTGGGAATGATTGATGAGACCCAAAAATGCTTTGTCCTTGTTCCCCAGTTCTGTTTGTGGACTGATGGACTGAATGTGCTTCTTGGTCGAGAGATGGTCAGCGAAAGGACGCAGAGCGACCTGGATATCTTGCTGTCTATGGAGCTCAAATTGCGATTGTTGGATCTGGAGAACATTGCCATCCCAGATGCCCCACCCGACATTCCAAAGCCTCCCAGCAACTTAAATTTCTGCTATGACTTTACCCATATCGAACAGTAAGGGCTGTCTTTTCTCCTTAGCACACAGTGCCCCAAAGCAGGATCTGCACAGCACGTACACTGCTTTACAAATTCACCGGCTTGGTTGTTTGGATCAGCCCGAAAGCCAGATCAGGAACATGGCATGGGTTCTCTGCTTTCATCTCACGTGCCAATGGCTTCCTCTGTTTCCACCTTTCACCCAAGTAGCATTTACTGTGACATCAAAGTCGGGCAAACCACAGATAACCAATCCAGTTCAAACCACATATCAAAGTGCGGTTTGAAGATGAGCAATGACCACAGATTACCTAATTCAGACATCGCAGCAAGTGAAGCGAGGCAAGGAGGAAGGAGTATGTCGGCTTTGTTCAGTCTTCTCAACCGGGCATTGGTTGAGTGTGTTTTTTCACTTTAAATCCTAGAAAATCAGTTATTTTAACAAACGTTTGCGGGTGCCCATTTACATTGCTTTCTTCCATCTAAGGTGCCATCAAAATTTGGAACAGGAATTGCTTTGTCAGGGAGAGGGGTAAGTGGGCAAATAGGCCTTAAGAACAGAAACTGAGCAGTGTGGAAAGAAAACAGAGAAATGAACAGCCACCCACTCACCAGGATATTTGTCTCTATGAGCTAGCATCTGCAACCGGCGTTAGAAAGTTACCCATAAAACACACACACACAAAACCCACAAGGGAATTTGCTTTCTACACAGGTTGCTTTGTGCCTCATTCTGTGATCTTTAGTATAATCCTAAAATGGCAGTCACATAGATGCCCAATAGCTCTTCCGACACGATTCATGCCACAAGCTGCCTCAAGCACACGACTGCCCTAGCTGTTGCATATGGCACAAGCTAGAATTCCTGTTGCTGCCTGTGTGAAAACTGGAGGAGTGGGCTGGCGGCGCGTCAGAACAGACAAAAGAGGCAGAGTCCTGTTTCTCATCAAGCTGAGCCTTGACCTCAGTCCCCGTGAAAACAGGTTGCTGTTGGCTTCAGCTGCCTGAAACAATATGCTTCATAAGGGCAGCCTGGTTGTTGGGTAAGAATGAGCTTTATTGGTTGGTTTCTGGCTCACAAACAGGTCTCTGTGTTCTCCGTTAGCCATCATTTTTTCACATTTTTTGGTTTGGAATTGCACTTCCCCAGGAATTGCACAGGCCAATTGGGGGTGGCAGTGGGCTTCTTCCAATGCTTTCCTTAGGAAGAAAGGAATTGAGGCAGTCTAGTCCCTTCTCCAACCCTCCCTAAGCTTTTGTAGTTTGAATGCTGTCAAATGCTTGCTCTGCCTTTTGGTACGTTTTGCACTTTACAAAATTGCCCCTTTTGCTCTGCAAGAACAGGAGACGGCACAGCCGTGGCTCCGGTCTTCCTAAGCAAAGGGAGGCATCTGTTCAAACTTGGAGCACAATTAGCTTTCTGGGATGAGTGGGTTTTTTTTTTTTTCCTTGTTTCTGTGACTGTTTGCAAGCACGACGTACGGTACAGGGAGAGATTCCCGACGATCTCTCTTTCAAGAACGCTTCAGTAAAATGCATCCAAAGGTATGGTTTGAAAAATCCTTTTAGGGTATAGTCCTTGGTACATAACAGTCAGTACTGTTGCTTCTGAACCATACTCTCAGTTCTGCTCCAACAACAGCTGAATTCTGGATGTGCCATAAAACGAGCAATCCATATTTTTTAAATTGCTTTTCCTTATACTTTTTATTCTGCTTGGCCTTGGCCGTTGTAAGCTGTTTAAGGACCAAAGCCTTGCATTGTGCAAGACTGTAAGGAGAGGGGGGCGATGTCACGTTGCCTCAAGCCAGGGATTCATCTAGACCAGTGTTTCTCAACCTTGGCAACTTTAAGATATGGGGACTTCAACTCCCAGAATTCCCCAGCCACCCATGAGGCTGAGAAACACTGATCTAGACAATCTCAGCCTGATCCTATAATTTTCTTGATGTACCAAGGATTGGAGCCTGCAACCTTTAACTGACCAAGGGCAAGAGCACTTCAGCACAACAGTAGATTGTGACAAAAAGATTACAGGGAATGGCTTCTTTTCATAGTTAACCTCCTTTGTTTGTCTCTGTTAGCTATTTTGAAAGCACACATGGCTGTTCTTTACTGTTTTCATGTACATTCTGTGTATGTATCACAGATTTTTTTTCCCTCACCCCACAACAGACATGGGGTCCATTGCACTGGATCAATAATTTCCTTTTTCCCCCCCCTCATCTCTTTGCCTATGATTTAGTCTTGCACCATGGAAACTGTTCACTGGTTAAGAACAAACCTTCTCTGTTTCAATAACTGCAGAAAAGGGGTCCCTGGGCATCCCCCAATTTTCTTCTTGCTCAGATGATTCTACTGTAACAAATTCACTGTGGTACTGCCTTTGGCATAGAAGCCATTAATCATTAAAAAAAGAAAAAAGGACGAACTCTCTTTGTGGCTTTTCGGGTATGATTGCATATACTGTAGTTGGGATTCCCATACAGAGCACAGAAACCGGATGTCTTGGAAGTTTATAGGTGGAGTCAAAGACAACCCAGTGAGAATTCTGACCTTTTCTTCCCTTTCGAAAAAGAAATGATTGAGTAGTAACCTCTTATGCTCCAGCAGCAGATGCTTTGGGAATATGTTTTAGCCTAGCAGTGCGCCTCCTGTGAAGGGTGATTGCTTGTGAAATCGATCGAGAAGGATAAACTGAGAAAGCATCCTTACTGGGAGTCAATAAGGCAAGCCTTCCAGATAGCAAGATAAAAATGGTTGCAATCTTAAAAAGATGATTTTCTGCTCAACGCTGACATTTGCCATGAGATGATCCTAAGATTTTGGGACATTCAAAAAGAAAAGGTACATCTTAATTAATTTTATGTTTCTGCAGGCCTTGTATTAGGTGGTAGAGCATTTGGGAGCATCACATTCTAATTTGTAATCTCAGGTTTGGGCAGATTTACTTTGTGGATCAAAACCCTGAAATCTGTTTACTGGAGCCAGTGGAATAACAGTGGCTCAAACAAACACCTGTTTGCTTAAGCAGAGTGTCTCTGCATAATTCAGGAGCAACTGATCAATACGGAATCAAGCTCACGAATCTTTCTGCACACCTTCCTAGCAGGATTCCCCCAAATGTTCGTTAGGAAAGGAAAAAAAAGGCTTTTAAAGTTGTAATGGTCACACAGTATCAGAAAACTCCTAGAGATATACAGGAGACCATCCTGAGATTTATTACTTGATTCACATTTACCTTCTTCTGACCCTCGCCTTACTTTATTACTGTGGCCAGTGGGATGTTTTAACTGGTAGGCCTTGTTTTCTTTTTTTAACCGTTGTGCACAAAGCTGGATTTCAGGCATGACTTGACAAATTTTGCAGGACGTGGCTCCCGATGCTATTGTGCAGAAGCGGGCATCTGGCAGGCCTCAGCTACTTTGGGCTACAGCTTGCAGGAATTTGTGGGAACTGAAATCAAATATGCAACTCTTAGCCAAGATGAGAGAGCTGAGTTTAATAGCCTGCATTGTCCTTTGTCCCAAACTCCAAAGCGTGGATAAGATGGCAGTCTTTTATTTGTGCACGTGTTTTGTGTCTGAAGCCCCAGTACACACATTACAGGCTTAGGAAGAAGAGGGATGCTAGTGAGAAAAGTTGCTTTTCCCACCCTGTTTGCAAGAAGGAAGTTGCTGGAATGTCTCACTGTACCTGAACAGTCCAAGGATGCTCTAATATGGGGAGGACAGACTTTGGAAGGGTTTGCAATCACAGGTTCCCCTAAAATTGACAAGGGGATTTTTAAGGGTTGGCAACTAAGGATATAGTTATCCTTCTTGCACACAGGGAATTCACAGCCTTTGGGGGGAGAAAAAAGTGCTTGTGACTGGCTATGTCAGTGTTGGTATGGATAGCAAGACTTGTCCTGCTGTCTCGTTGGGAGACCACTCCCAGCAGTGCTGGGACTTACCTTGGTCCAAACTCCAGGAGCAAAATAAATATCCCCCGTTCTGCTTGCAGGATACCAAAGCGGCTGGTCTTGCTCAAGAGCCCGCTCCTGAAAGACAGTCTTGGAAGCTGTCCTCCCTGCCATGACGGGTTGCTTCTTTGATAGGGCTCATACGGCCGTAGCAGTGCAATTCATTTTCACCCTATGGTCATGACGCTATCAAGGCTGCCCAAGAAGACCTCCTGCCTTCCCACTGGGATGGAGAGAGGTTAATCATCAAGGCTCACAACCCACAAGGCGTTCCTTTACAGGCTGATGGAAAGGTCTGCTCCACCCACAAACCGTGACTGGATCCTTGTCTGGCTCTGAGGGGGCAGCTGTGATTGGAAATGTTCAACGTCAGACATGCTAATCTTGCTGCACATGGAGACATCCAAGCACTTCAGCAGCTGGCACTCCTGACCGACAGACCTCAGGGTCCTAGAAGGGGAAATTCCAGCTGCCGTTGATCTCTCTGGTCCACCCACCTCCGCAAAGAAAGCTCTGCCATAACTTTGCCATCCCTGTCCTCCTTGTGAGAAGGGTGTGGGCAACCTTTTGGTGGTCAGGGGTGGTTCCCAACGTTTAGGGAGAGGGACCCGGGACCTGCAGTGGACGGAGCAATGATACACAATGGACAGAGCCCTTTGCAGGGGAAGAGCTTTTAGAGAATTTTCCGGGGGTCCACTGAGGAGCCTTAGGGCCACATCTGGTGCCCTGAGGCATTTAAGCGACCCATCTCTTGCCAACTGTGCTCACTTACCTGGGTGTCAGCTGGTTGCAGCCAGAAAGAATGAGATGCTGCAGCCTGCGCAAGGATCCAGCTGCCTCGGCAAAGCCTCTATCTGTCAGGTTGGTGCAGTGACTCAACGAAAGGTGTTCCAAGCTCCGACAGTTATGCGCAATAGCAAGGAGGCTGAGATCAGTGATGTTCGGCACGAGGTTGAGGGAGAGGTGGCGAAGTTCTGGGAAGCTAATAACCTGGAGAGGAAGGGCACAACCAAATCCTGCATGGGGTGCAACGTGCAAATCAGGCTGATAGAAAAACATCCCAAGCCTTTAAAGAGGAAGGTTATTTAGTGTGATCCTGAGCTGCTAGAGAGTTTTGTGGTATATGCTTACCCTCTGCCGTTTGAAGTGGTAGGATCCCTACAGATCGTATCATGCCCTAGCGTTGAATGGTTTGCCCAGTGTGGGAATCTCCCCATCATGGAAAGCCTCAGTATGATTTAAGTATGTGGGCACTACATATGATGTGAACACACTCATTGTGTTCATATAACCCAGATTAAGGATTTAGCCCAGGATGTGAATCTAGCCAACATTTAGTTCAATACTCAGAAAAAATGGAGCATTTTTTTTTAACCTGCTTTGTGAGCACATCATTCCTGTGTATTGAGGATTCGTGCTAGCTAATTGTGCCTGAGGAGGAGGCACTGAATGCCCGTGTTTGCATAAACCTGCTTGCTGAGTTCATTCATCTGCTGTGTTTCTGCAAGGCTGAATTATAAAATTTATCGAATAGGCTGGGTTGTGTTGTACACTAAGAAACCTAATCTGGGTTAAAAGTAACTAACGCCAGCGTGCTTTGGGAATGCATCTTTTCAGTCACTTTTCTGTTAAAGTGCCTTGTACGAACCCAGCCCATCAAGTTCTCTTCCCTGACTCTGTTGCTAATTCCTTGCCTCTCTTTTCCATCTTTCGAACAAGGGGATCCGTCACAGATCGTGTTCATCCTCCCGTTTTTCTTTTTAGTCTCTGCAGCGAGTTTCCCCCTCTGTGCACCAGCCACTTCCTTTCCTTTGTGACCTCCTTTTTTTTTGAAGAGCACCTTTCTAATCAAGCGAGCGCCTCATGTGCTTTTGTGGCTGTTGGTTCTGCTCTAATTCGTCTCCACCACCACCAACCAGCCACAAACATCCTGTTCTCGTTTGCCTACTGTTGGTCTCCCCAGCTGAAGGGTGTTGCTTTCAGAGGCTGTACTCCTGCTTCTTTACACATGCTTAACTGAGTAGGCTTCACGTCAACCTCAGTGCCAGAGCACTGTGCAGAAGGTCACAACCCCTGGCAGGCTGAGGAAGAATGTGGAAACACCCTGGGCCAAATCCCAAGAAAACCTGCGTCGCTTAGTTTAGAGTAGGGATATGTAGCCTAGGTGTTCTTTCCAAGCCACAAGCGTTGAGTTCTCTGAGCTGCTATTTGGATGTGGAATGAAGGAAAATAAATTATACGATCTGCACAGCTAGATGGACCATTATTCTACTTCATAGGAGGTGGTTTCAGGTTCCTCTGATGGTGTCTGGGCTGTCCCGAACTGGAGAATGCAGCTGGCTTCTTTTGAACAGATCATTGCTCCTTCATAGGAACAGTGGTCTGGGAGAAGACCATTTAGCAAAGCATGTGTTCTGCCACTCAGCCCCGACATCTGCTTTCCCAAATCAGGCCCTGTACCTTGGTTATGCTCATGTCTGTCAGCTTCCCGCAGGCTGTCAGGTCAAGCTCTTGCAGACTGGTCAAGGCATGCAAAGAGGTTTGGCCCTGCTCTTGGGCATTCAGCTTATCGGGCTCCAAATCCTGGGGAGGTGGCAGGAAAAACCCCATGTTGCCAAAGTTCCTGCTGAACTTTGGGCCTGCACCTTTCTGTCAAAACAAGTTGGAATGGTAGTTAAAAGCAGCTGCAACCTTTCCCAATCACTTATATCGCAAGGTAGCCTTCCACAACTTAGGTATGCTCTAATAGTCCTCTTGACTGGGGCATCTGGGAGGGAAAGTCCACAGAACTAGAGGGCCTCCAGGTTGGAAAGGACCGTGATGCAGTATGACACAGGAGCACTGATGCTATGCCTCCAAAACCCCAAGAGAGAATTGGGGGCTTGCAGACCACCCCTGTGGATATTTAAATCTCTTTCCACTGCGACAAGGGAGGAAAGCACTTTGGGGTGTTTTTTTTCTCAGATTTGTGTTCCTCCCAACTTTTGAGGGGCTGGGAAGAGATAGTACAGGTGGGTCATGTTGGGTGTGTTTGAAAGCGGAAGATACATGAGAAGATTGTGAATTTGTACACTGCTTGCATGTTGCTGTCAAGGGCAAGGAGGTTGCTTGCTCTATTCTAGGCAAAGTATCCTGCTGTACTTCGCTCTGTGAGTGAGGCTTCATTAGTAAGACCAATGCTGGGGTGTGCCTCCCATTACAAACATTCTTTTAAGGGCCCACCTTCCTTTCTAGCTCCAAAGCTGGAGGAACATTTGATTAACGACAGAGCATTGACTGAAAACAATCATTTAATACAATCTACAGCGCCGCAGTGGACACCGAAAAATCAGGGCCAACTCCATCCAAACAATACTGTTTCCTGCTAGCACCTCCTGCCAAAGGGTACTTGCTACCACTCCTGAAAATCCCAGAGGGCTCTAAAAGAAACTCTTGACCTTCTAATGTAAGCCACCTGTTGCAACAAGTATGTATTTATCCTGGATTTTGGCCAGAACAAGAACATTCCATCTGATTTGATTTAAACACTCTGCCCAAGGCTTACCTGTGCATCCCTGTGTGCTCTGGGAAGGTGAGGTCTTCCCTGTATTTTCCTGGATCCAGAGGTCAACCATTTCAGAAACGGGTGCTTCCTTTTTTTAGCTTCCCTGGGTCTATAAATCATGGGGCTGCAACTAGCATTTTTTTTTATTGGAAGATAGATTCCGATTGTTAGAAAAAGTCCTAACAGTAAGAAGGGTTCAGCAGTGACCTAGAGAGATGGGTGGGTTCCCATTCATTGGTTGGGTTCAAGTGGAGACTAGACAGCCTTTCAGCACTGATAAGGAAGGTAGACTTGGGGACCTAAATGGCTTCTTCTAACTCCAGGATTCTAACATTCTATAATACATTACATAGAATGCTTCCTATTGTTGCCATAACTTGCCTGGCATCACAGAACAGAAGCCCCTTCCATTAGTTAGACCATGAGCTACCAGGAAGAACTTCATGGCAAGGAGACTGCAAGAGATTTGGAACATGAGAGGTTGCAGGAATCTTGTGATATTTGGAGTATTTTTAGTTTTGTCAACATTTTGGGTGTTTGTGCTGTCAGAACAGTGCTCACCACCCAAAAAGTTGCTGATCCTTGCCATTAGACAACAGTTGAGGAATTTGGGAAAAGAAGAACATTTACACAACCTTTCAAGTTCCTTTTTTTGCATCTATTTGCTGCTCTAGGCAAATTAGGTTCTCTTCCAGTTCAAAAGCCTGCTCTATATCTGTCTACACCTTTATTGGTGTATGCCTCAAGAGAATGGTGGCCTCCTTCAGACAAAAAACCTAAAAACAAGAGAGCAACTAGACAAAAGGCCGCCAGAGGACAAGAAGGGCTCCTGTCTCTTCTCTTAGTTAAGCTTTGAAACCTGAATGAGGAACACAAATTCTCACTAGGTCTCTTTTGGAGAACCTGGAAAGGGAAACAGACTCTTATAAAGGTAAAATGTTCCAGTTGACTCAGCTCTGGGTGTATTCATGGATATGTGTATATGATTGTCTTGGTAGCAATACAGAAGTGACCCACCATTTCCTTCTCCTGGGTCAGTCAAGGTTAACTAAGTGCCACCATTTAACTCTTGTAGAAGCACCAGACTCCTGAGCATGCCTGATACAGACACATTTGACTTGTGTATCATTTCTATCTTCCCCTGTGTCATTATCCAGGCAAAAAAGCCTACATTTATGACGTTCTCTCACCTCTCTGGCACATTCACACTCCTCTCTGGGCTCCTCAATACCCAGCAAGCCCCAGTCAGTCAGTTCTTTACACCAGGCCAAGCGGAGGACAGTCAGACATAAAAGATTGGAAGCGATAGCCTGGATGCTTCTGTTGGAGAGCGACACACAAGATGATAGATCCAAAACCCGGAGGTTCTTGCTTAGAGCTTGAGCCAGAGAGAGCACTGTGCTGTCCTGCAGAAGGAAGAAAAAAGATTATTGGGTTCATATTTATTTTAACTTCCCACAAGGGCTTCAGGGAGGGCATAGCTCTTGGTGATTTTCCGCCTTAGGCCAATGAGATTCACATATTGCATTAAGCCAGTTTATTTAACCACAGCTTACTGGAAAAAACACTAGCACAAAATCACACATTGTATTAAGCTAAAACCAAACCACCTCATTATGGCTTAGCACAAAGGGTGAACCAGCTGTTGAACCATACTGTTGGCCTAAAATGAATCAATTAAACCCTCCCCCCCCCAGCCCCCCCCCCCCCGCCCCCCAGAACTTACTCTCAGTAATGAACAAAAGGCAACATTCAAGGATTTTAGTTTGGGAAGTCCTGCATTAGCGCCAAAAGCTTTCACGAGCTCACTGCAGCTCACAAGACTGCATTCAGACACGTCCACGCTTTGGAGATGCTTCAGATGTGACATTCCCTGGAAGCCAGCATCGGTCATTCGCGGGAGCTTCCCCAGGCGCAGGCACTGAAGAGCTAGAAGCCGGGAGCTGATGGCTAGGGCGGCCCGGTCAGAAAGCTCGGAGCAGCCGCTCAGATCCAGCGTGGTCAGATGAGGCTGGTGCTGACACAGGATGCTCACAGCCTCATTGGTCAGATCTCGGCAAGCCTGCAATACAAGTTCCTGCAGCTGCAGGTTCTCCACTTGGACCAAGGTCTTCATTGCTTGGCTGTTAATATTGGTGCCACTCAAATCCAAAGACTTCATGCAAGTGGCTCGCTGGCTGAGAAGCTGCAGGAGGTTGCGGAAGGATAGCAGGGCGGAGGAACTGTAGTTACGGGAGCCATCGTAGCCGTCAAACTCAAAGGTAATGTGGCAGCGCGCAAGAACCAACTTGGCCAGTTTTGGACAACAGCTGGTCAGGCGGTTGAAAGTGAGATCGGACAAGTACCTTACACTAGACAAATTCAGTTCCTTCAAGTTAGCTAGCACTTTTTGGGCTTGCAATAAAGTCTCTTTTTTGGACAGCATAGTGCCAGACATGAAGAGGCTGTTGCAGCTGCTCAGATCCAGGGCCACGAGGCAGGGGCAAGCAAGAAGGAGTTCCTCAAAGCTAGCTTCTGTCAGGCAGCTCCCATTCAAGCAGAGTCTGCGTAGATCGGGCCCCAAGTAGTTGGCAATGCATCTGATGACATCTCGAGAAGTGGTAGAGCTATCTAGGTTTGCCATCTTGACACTGCACACGTGCCTTTGGGCCAAGCCCCGGATGGTCTTGAGTGAAGCAGAAGTAGCTGGGATGTTGTAGAAGACGTCCTCCTAGAATTGAAACAAGGCAGGATCCGTCATGAGGACATACTTCCAAGGAGGCCACTGTGATAGAAAACTTCAGAATTAATTGCCAACCTCTCTTCTGTGTTTGGAGCCACATTTCATAGAGGGAGGGGGGTGGGTTTTGTATCTATTTCTTTTAAAGATGGGAATTTGGACAGGGAACCTGGGGAAGTAAAATGCTCCCATTCCAATCTTTAAAAACTTGCAAAATGAGGCAATCTTCTCCACCGTAACGTATCATTAACATACTATCAGCAGCTTCCTGCAGCCCACTGGCAGATTGGAAGACAACTGTAGCTCCCAACACAGTAAAAATTGCCCAATCCTGAAATAAGGGATATTTTCAAAGGAATGACTGCCTCCTGAAGGAACAGAAAGCGTAAGGGAGCTTGTCTAAGAAGCCCACAAAGGTTTTACCTGTCGCAGAGAATCTTGGGCTGCAAAATACCAGGCTCGGTTAACTAGAGAGGCCTCTTTTCTATCAGAGATAGGTAGGAAACTCAAGACGTAAGTGATGACCTACAAATGAGAAAGCAGATGCCGATTTAGTTGTTGAAACTGGAAACAGAATTGATTTATGACTGAGATGGAAACATATCTAAAACCTCCGGTCATCTTGCTCAGATGCCTGTTGTGGTCCATAACTCAATCTGTTCAGAGACAAGAGGTAAGGATGTAATGGTGAAATTAATGGAGTAAGGATTGGCAGAACTCTTCCTCGTGTCATGATCTTGGAAAGTGAAAAGCGAATACATTGTTTGGATGGCAATCACGAATACTGGTATTTGGACACAGTAAGAAATATAAACGTAATGGCCTTCTCTCCACCTTCTCTTTCTTTCTTCGCTCATTGGCGTCTTTGATCCAGGAAAACTTTGCTTAATGCTGTTTGAGGAGGCATGAGAGAGTCCATGTGAGACATTAAGGGGTAATTTGTATGAGATATCCATCTCATTTGAAGTCAGGTTATTCAAAATGTATGCATATGGTTTATTAATGGAAAAAGCACCCTGTTCATTAAGCCACTTTTGCGAAAGGGCAACTGCTGTGGCGATAAGAAAGTAAATGTTTATCAGCTAATGCTCCAAGGAAGAGCATGGTGGGCCACCTATGCAGTGACCAGGGCCTGACATGAAGATTTGGGAGCAGGGATGCAACATCAACCACATCACACAAATGGATGGGGTGGGGAACTTCCCTTCTGCGTTTTGGGAAATGTTGCTACTTATTTTTTTTAACTAGGTAAATATTATTTTCAGGGGGGTGTGCTCACGCTACAGATTCTGTGTATTTCACCCTTCAAAGTGGCAGATAATGGTACAAGGGAAGTTCAGTCTTGAGCAAGGCCTCTGAGAGCTGCAGTGAAAGGATGTGGGGCTCTTAGCTATGGCTGCCATGGGAGGGGGTATGATGACACCTGTAACTTGACATCATTAGTGCGAAGATGTCAGGATGCGTGTGAGGTTGCCATGGCTCGTACTGGACATCTATGTCGGTTGACCACCTCTAAGACAGGGTGTGCTGGGCCCAAGCAGTGACACAATTAGGGCTGGTGTCTAGACTCTCACCTTGCATAATGAAGATTTGAGCCTCCAAATACAGTAACAGTAGCTTACCAGATTTTGACATACGTGAAACAACATGCGTAGCTATCTAGAAAAACAACTCATTGTCCTAAGACTATTACATCCAGAATTTAAAAGTACACCAACTGAATCACTGGATGTAAGACTTCAGAGCCAAGCAAAGAGCCAAGCATTTTGAACATTTCTTGCAATAAAGCCCAGAGTGATGGCTTCTGATGCAAACCATACATCCAATTTTCTCTTCTACTTTGGCTTAGTAATAGCAAAACTGAGGTTAATTTCAGATGGGAAGAGTTCATATAATGCGAAACCATGTTGCTCAGAAGAAGGAAGTCTTTTACAAATCTTAATACCCACTTTTTCAGCTTAATTTACTTATAAAATGCCAGAGGCTGGTGACCTTTGTGAAGAGCCGGATATTATAAGGCTGTAAAACAGTAAATGATTTGCTGTGATTGCATGTACACAATAGCAAGCCATTGTGCATATGGACAAGTATTCTGAAAACAGCAACTGCTATCCTTAGGAAGACATTTTAGTTACATGTTTATTTTATCTGAATTGAAAATAACACATCCCATTCTGGACTGAGGTTGACTACTCTTTTATGCTTCTATGTACCCACTTTTTAAACCTGTCCCCATCCAGATAAGATATCACCATCAAGACTAAAAAGTATTTTGAAAAATAATCAAAGTCTGGAATGAACAATTGATCAGATCTGCACAGCACACTAAGTTATAAGCCACAGTTTACAAGCCACAATGCCTGGGCTCATGCAACACGCAATGCCAGAATCAAATAATTCCCAATTTATTTTAGCACTACGTGGTAAAACTAGCCAGAAGGTTTGTTAATATTGTTAATTACAAAAACAACTAAGCTAATGGTTTATGAAGCAATTAACACTTAACCTTTCAAAAAGAAAATAATAAAGGATAACATTTCACAGTGTTCAGTAAGGATTCTATAAATTAAAGTCATTCATGGAGCAGCTTTTTCAAGGAGCGGCTTTTACCCTAGAACAGCTGTGCTTGTTTTAAAATCAAAAGAAACAAAGTTTTTAAAAGCAGTTTTGCTCAAAAGGCACCAAGTTATCTCATGGAAAAATTGAAAGATTCTTTTTGCGTGCATATGGTGACATGTTTATTAAACATTTCAAGTGGAGTTCTACAAAACAACTCAGGAAATGTCTAAAGCTCTAGACTGGAATAGGGGTTTTTTTCCCCCATCAGTTTCAGTAAGGATTACATGATCAGAGAATGTGGCCAACCTTGCTACGGTAAAATGATTAATTTCATGATAAGTTCCCATGGTGATATCAGACAGTTTTGGATGGACTAATTCAATTTACCTTCCATGCCTTCCAAATAAGATTTCATTACCCATTTCAGCATTCCCTTCTAGACAGCTGTGTATCTATGTGAGGAATGTGGCCATGAGCTCTACCGCTTTAGAAAACTTTTTTTTTTTTTTTGTAAATGTGGTTATCAATTTTTCACTCCTTTCTTGACCTTGATGCCACAGTTTGGGCTAATCCAGTTGCCTCTGAAAAATGAGAACGTTGTTGAACATGAAGATGGTCCTGTTAAACACTATATAAGCCAATTCACATTTGCAAACAGGCTGATTCTTTCATTTTAAGAGTTTTCCAATGCAAGAACAGAATAAATGAACCAGCAGCAGTAAGTATCTACATGTGTACAGTAATAACAACTGGAAGAATGTCATCCTGGTCAAAGAAATTCAGAAAAAGAATTTGGTGACATTTGGAACCCCAAGTCTAGGTTGCTCAAAGCCAGAGTTTCTCAAACTGTCTCCAACAATCTTAGGGTACTGTGAGAATTTGATGAGGTTCCATGAGAGACTAACAAGAACAAAAAGTTTACTTGAATGCAGCCAATTTTCTATCACTGCAGCTTTGCCTCTTGATCAGGAGTTCCAGAATTTTTTTTTTCTAACAACCTAGAAGTTTGAAAATCCCTGTCCTAAGGCATAATACAATTTATTTGGTATTGGCATACCATGTTGTGTGAACCTACTCACTGTGATTTATAAACCATGATGAATGGTTTAGCTTTATGCAAATCCAGCAATTGTGAATATAGTAATTATGGCTTGTTCAACATGGCATGGTTGAAACAAGCAATATGTAGGGCAATGCGTGAATCTGTCTATTGTATTTAGAACAGCTTTACACATTATGTTAAGCCCAATTTGTTTAATCATGTTTTTAACTAACCCAGTTGGTTCAATTCATACATCACGCTAAGCCATAAATCATGTTTTGGATTCCCACACGTGCTATGCCATGTTATGATTTAGTTCAGTCTTTATACCTAGTCTTACTGTGGCACAAATTTCTCAGAGGTACAGACTATCTTTCCCCATTGTCATATATTGATATTAAGTCCAAACAGCACAAGATATTACCAATCTGCCAACTGGAAACATATCTATATATTGCATTTTAATCCTGCTTTTCCATTAAAAATAATCTTCAAATTATAGTTTTTAAAGTGGCTCTGATGAAGAAAGTTTAAGTCTGTAGGCATCTGTTAATTGAATATGTTAAAAAATAAAACCACAAGAAGAATAGCTACTACTGAAGCCTAGATCTGTATAATCAGTTCCACACTATATGGGCCCATCACATAATAAAGGGCTCTTTACTTATATCAATTTGCCCAAGTTTGTTTTCTCTGAACTATAGAGTTTTTATATAGATATAATCCTTTCCCACCCAATCCCATAACAATCTCCAAGATTTTAGCTCAGTCCAATTACATTTATTTCCTCAATGCCGTGGTTTCCCCCAACATTCAGCTTTATCAATGATTTAAAAAGTATTTAACACATTAATTAACTGTGCAGTGTGCATCCCACTCATTAGAGCGTGAATATTCTAGTGATTGACAAAGGCTTCTGTTTCTGCTCTTGCAAATCCACCCAGAGAAGCTGCAATTGGGGAGCAATTTAATCATTTTTCAAAGTGCTCTGGTGACGGCATACATTCCTACCTATTCTAGAACTTGACACGTTTCAGTTAGGATGTATCTACGGCAATTATTTTATTCCTGAGCCATTAAAAAAGAATTAGGACCTTGGCTGCCTAAGCCAAGGAATGTCCTGTCAGACCCGTCTTGGTTCTGTAGAAGATATTTGCAATGCTTACAACTTCCTCCAATTGCTGCGATTTTCTTGTTGAGGTCTCAGGTGGGTATCACCCTTGACAATTCTTTGTGAAAGTCCAACCTCGGTCCGGCTTTTTCACCGAGCCATCTCATGAAAGATACTTCCTTGCTGGTAAGGAAGCATGAACCAGAGTGGCCCGAGGTTATTTAGGGGCTGGGAAGAGCAAATACACAGTTCCTGATTTGGGCAGCTTCAGATGCACCTGAAAGCATCTGCATGCCATGACCTCCTAAGCATTTTGCTCAGCAGGGTCGCGTTTTCCTCCAACAGGACTCTGCACTGCAGTTTTTCCCAAATATTGGAGGGGGGGGGGGAATCAAGAATACTGCTTTATAAAGCAATTAACGGTGAGAGCAATGCTTCCAGCCATGGTAGCAACCCAGCTCCTCGGATGAAATATCATAACATTCTGTAGCTGGAAGGGACCCCCAAGGATCATCTGCTCCACCCCGGCACTGTGCAGCAAAACCATCCAGGCGGCTGCCCAGCCGCGTAAAAGCCTCGCGTGACGGAGCCCGCGCAGCCTCTGCCGCTTCTTACCGCCAGGAAATTTTTCCTCAGATTGAAGCAAAATGTAGGCAGCTGCAAATTACGCCCGTAAATCAAAGGATAATAATCTGGAGGCAGACAGATACGAAATTTCAGGAGCCACCGCGGAAAAGCCGGGAAACAGCTAGCAAATAACTTCGCGCCCGACACGTGCTTGTAGACACGTCTGTATGCATCCACGCGGGTTGAGTGAGGAGCATAGCGTCCCGCTAGCCTGGCAGGATTAAGGTGAGGAGCAACCGCGCCCTCGGGCGTCCTTACCTCCACGGGCAGCCTGCAGGTCTCCATCGCCGGCCGGAGTCCGGCCGGAGGTCAGAAGAGAAGCGGAAAGACAGCGACGGACAAAGAAGCGGAGCGCCCTCCAACGGCCGGCCACGCCCCCACTCCGCCCATCAGCCCCGCCCTCTCCTCCCCCCTCGCGTCCCAGGATCCCCATGACGACGGCGCGACGCTTCTCGGGAACTGTAGGCTTTCCAGAGAAAAGCGACTCTTGGCGGCGCCGATGTGACGCCAATGCTCCTGCGCCGGAAGTCTCGCTGTGTTGAGTTGGTGGACTTGCCTGCGTGCCCTGTAGGCTCGCCGGAGAGTCGCCGTGGCGGTGAGTCGGGCGGCTGGGGCGACGGGGCTGGAGCCAGCCGGGGCGAGCGGGCAAGATTTAGGTAAAGATGGAGCGATGGCGCGCGACCTCCGATTTTTTTTTTTAATTGCCTTTCTCTTTCCCAGCCCAAAGGAAAGGTGGGAACCAAAGGTAAAAAGCAGATATTTGAAGAAAACAAGGATACTCTCAAGTTCTATCTGCGAATCATTCTAGGAGCGAACGTGAGTACGGGGCGCGGGATCTTCTGGGTGGGGGGCGGTGAGCCGGGGCAGCCTCGTTCTTTTGCGCAGAGCACGCCTGCGGTTCGAAAGCTGCTGCAGTCGAGAAAAAGGCGCCTGTTTTCACCTTGCCAAAAGCCACAGCTTTCCCATCACTGGTCTCATCAGCAGCGGAGGTCCCAGTCTGTAAAGTCCTGTGCCTGAAGGTAAAGAGTGGAGTTGAATTTTGACTGGGGGACTTGCCCCTTTAGAATGACAGTCTTAGACCAGTGTGGCTGGCTGGGGAATTCTGGGAGCTGAAGTCCGCACCTCTTAAATCCGCCAAGTTTGAGAAACGCTGCTTTAGGCAAAGAGTTCTGTCCGTTCCTCTTTCTCTCTTATTTTGATATCCCTTGGTTTCAGGCCATTTACGGAATTGTAAACTTTGGGATTTTCTACGTAACAGCCACCGTTTGGACTTGGGTGAGTTCTGTATATTTTCGGACTGTCGTTTCTTTGAGCCAGGGACTATTTATGGTGCACAGTGAGAGTTGGGAGAAGAACGTTGATGCAGAAGTGATGTTTTCTGACTCTCTCACTCCTCCCTGCAAAGAAAGAAGTCTTTATCAATCTGTTTAAAATATTGGCGAGGAGAATAGGAGATTCGGTTGATCAAAACATTGAGACTGATACAGCAGGTTTGAGCTACCTAGTCCTGTAGCCTGCCAGCCTTTTTAAGTATTACACGAAGCTTAGAGCCCTCCACTGCCATCCCTCTGTCCCCACTAACCCTCCAACAGCTGAGATTCTGTGCCATGTTTGTAAACCTGGAGGCTCCACATATAACCACCAGTAGACCATTGTTCCATTAAGCTGCCTTAGTCTTTTACAGAATTGTTACTACATCTTTTTACATGAGTTTACTGGGAGTTACTGCATATTTTACAAGCAAGTACATTGCCTATAGTTGTATAGATACTTTTTCTGAATAATTTCAGAGGGAGCTCCTTCCAGTCTACCAATGTCCTTCCCCTCCTCCCAATATCTTTTTGTGAACTAAAAAGCCCAACATGTTTTAGATTTTTTTTTTTTTTAGGGACAGTGTTCTAACTCTTTGGTTATATTGGTTGCTTTTTTGCAAGTACAAATTTCCTTACTATGTGCATCCACCATTGTAGTTACCTATTTTTTCTGCAGCTCCCCCTGCCCCCCCCCAAAAAGAAGATGGGCAAGCTCCTGCACCACAATATAGAAAGTGAGAACAGGAGAATCCAAGGTTGAGTAGTGGCATCCAGCCTTTCCCCGTTTGAGCCTGCGGCTGACTGATTGGATTCGTTTTTTGCAAGACAAGGCTGTCATGCAGTTGTTGGAAGTCTGACATTGTCCATTTTTAAGATCAGGAGTGGATCTGAGACTCCACAGCCCCCATCTGGTACCCCAATCCCTGAGTAGTGGCCTTCAGAGCACTGCTTATATTCAGCAGCACATTGCCAAACATTAATAGTGTGATTTCCAAAGGAATAAGATGTGTTAGTCCTATATATAGGCTTAACATACCTTAAAAGCAATCCCCCCTATGCAGAATCTATCTTCTCCCCTTACACATACCTACAAGGGGGAAAAGGAGAAAAATGTCCCAATCCATCTGCATATATTCCAACAGTGTGTATCCATATGCACCCAATAATACTGGTTAAAAAAAAAAAAGACACCAGCTATAAAATAGGTTTGATTTCATGCCTATCTTTGCCAAATACAAATCTTTGTGTGCTTTTGAAGCTTCAGGCTTTACTGAAGTAGTATCTCAAAAGTGGATAAAGGGTCGGACTGTTTTTCCTGGCTGATTTTCATATCCTTCTTGTAGATTGCCTTTGTGTTCAGCTTGATGGTCTACGGGGCCAGTTACCACTCAATGAGGTCAATGGCAAAGCCTACTTTTGCAGAGGGTGGCAGCCTCGCTGATGGCGGAATTGACCTGAATATGGAGCAGGGAATGGCAGAGTGAGTGTCTACACTACCTAAGTCCAGGTGAGCAGATCCTGCTGCCTGAGCGCATACATAGTTTTCCTTCATAGCCTCAACCAGTAGAGGGACACACTTGGAAGTCCCAGGGCCGCCTGCATCCCCCAGAACCCTTGTGTGTGCCCCCCAACCCCCATTTTTTTTATTGAATGGCAATTTTTAACATGACAGAAATGGGAAATTATTAAATTGATAACAGGAGGATAATCATATTAACAACTGGGTTCTTGGTGTTTGCTGAGCTTGGTTGTTTTCTTGCAGATGTTTCATTACCAGTCTCAGTACCATCTTCAGCACATGGGAGAGTGGAGTTCAGCAAACCCTAACCCTAAAGCAGTCTGTTCTGTTGCTGAATATCTTCTACCACTAAAACATTTCTTCTAATGTTCAGTTGTAACCAACATCCCTACATTTTCTACCTGTTAAGCCCAGTTCTGCCTTCTGGAATAAACAGATGAAAAATCTGCTGCATATTCTGTGTGACTGCAGATATTTAATAACAAATCTCCAGTCTCTCTTTAATTTTCTCCAGGTTCAGCATTCCCAGGTCCTGCAACCATTCTTCATAGGACTTCATTCATCACTGATTGCTCCAGATTGTCACTGCCCCATACTGATCACAGTAATCTGATAGATCTGCGCAACTAATGCATGATTTCTCAGCATATCCTGCAGCCATGTTTCTTATGCATCTTGACCAGACTGTGTCTGTAGTGCGTCCCCTCTTCCCATGACAGTCCTATTCAGGCAGGTTCTAAATGCTTAGAAACAGATTGATCCTCTGTAGCTTTTTTTAGCCAGTCTTTTTTGTTTCTTGAGTGGAATGTTTGAGAACAATAGAAGTCATTGAGGCTTATATACTGTCTTCTACTCTAATAAAAATCAGCTTTTTTTTCTGTCCTCAGGCATTTGAAGGATATGATTTTGCTTACAGCCATAGTCCAAGTGCTCAGTTGTTTCTCCCTCTACATGTGGTACTTCTGGCTCTTGGTAAGTTTCTTTTCTTACGCATTTGTTCATAGCAAGATCTTACCCTTTCCAGGTGCATCAGCAGCTATGGTTTATAGTCTGTTTGGAGAGAAGCCACACAAGCCTCACTTCCACTTGTATATAATTTTAATTAGTAACACTTGATTTCATTTTCTCCTCCTGTAAATAATTGAGATTTGTAAGAGTAATGCCATAACTTTCCTCCAGGTTGAAAAGAAATGTTGGATCCATTAGCACCCTAGAGAGAAAAAAAGATGGATAAGTTTGAGAAATGCTGAGATAACTTCCTTGGTCACACTGAAGGGAGACAGGAGGGAATTCCCACTAAAAAGCACAAACATTTTATTTTAAAGGTTATTTTAATTATAAAAATTCTGTCCTGCTTTTGACCATGAAAAATAGGGCAGTATATAGTTCATTAAAGAGTAAGCCATTTACAGTAGGAGAAAAACAATTAAAGAAAAACAGTTATTCATAGCAGCGCCAGTTTTACTGAGAGGAGCCGGTATATCTGAAGTTGGGCCCTGCAACTTAAAGAGTTTGTTCCCAGTCAGACCTGAACATGACATTCCATGTACACATCCCTGGCCAATGTAACCTTCAAGAGGATTCCTGTGCTAGATCTTAGATGATGAGCAAGTGCCTATAATAGAAAGGGCTCTGTTGGATGTCCCAGGCCTTCATGAAATTGGAATAAAATAGATTAGCATAAAATTAGTTAGATAGATATAAATAAATGCCCACCATTCCTAGAGATAGATTATGTAGGGATGTATTTCTTTAACTACCGAAAACCCACCCAGCTTTTTGGCTAACGCTCAGCCATGCAACTCCACCTGCTGCATGCCATGAAAGGGGACCCTGTTTTTGTGACCTCTTGCAGGCTCCAGGACGGGCACTCTATCTGCTGTGGGTTAACATTCTGGGTCCTTGGTTCACCGCGGAATCTCCAGCTGCCAATCAAGAGCCCAATGAGAAGAAACAGCGCCGGCAAGAACGCCGACAGATGAAACGGTTTTAGCCGCGCTCCTGGGCGTGAACGTCATGCCACCTTTGGTCTCCATGTGGCTGTTGATCAGGGATTTGAATCAATCAGAAAACATCAGGGGATTTTCCTCTCTTCTTGCCCTTGCCCTTCTCCTGACGTTTGTTCATCCTAAGGCTAGATGGCTTGGCATGGGGAAGCTGAGCCCCAAGCAAATAGTTGCCTTTGTCTGCCTTATGACAAGGGGGGAGGAGGGTCTGCAGATGTGTAAATATCTTTCTAAAATGATGCTGTAATATGAATCTGAGGATGAAGGTCTTTCAGGGTTGGAAGCGATGGTGCATTAAAAAGACACGCACACACACACAAACGTTTGCAAAGAGAGTGCTTGTGGTTTCCTTGGGTTTTCTTGTATCTCCTCTTCATTTACTCTCCATAATCACTCTAGGCAGGCATGATGCTCTGACTGGAAACACAAAACAAGCAGTGAGCCCAAACAATAACGGAAGCCAGGGTCACAGATGGACAAAGGGGGTTTTATATTTAAAGGTTATTCTTAAAAAAGAAAGTGGGGAGAGCAGGAACATCTGCTAGAATGGAGGGGAGCCAGTTCCTCATACACCATTGTATGTCCTTTTCTCTTTCCCCTCCTTCAATAGACTGTAACTTTGGACTTAATGTGGATTAATCTATCAACGAATGGCAGGATTTTATTTATTTATTATTAAGTTTGTATGCCGCCCATCTCCCCCAATGGGTGACTCTGGCCGGCTCGGGATGCTAGAATCATGGACTTTCTTTCAGTCTGATCTTTTCTGGCAAAGGAATTCAGAATCTCGGTGGTGGTGGTAGAAAGGATTTCTGTATAGTGGCCTTTTCCCAACCTTTTCTTCCCAGATTGTAACTCCAAGCTTTCCCAGCTAGCATAACCAAAGGCCCAGCCTCTCCCAGAGCCATGTTGCATCCCAGATTTGTAAGACTTTGGAGCCTCCAGACGGTTTTTCTTAAAAAAAAACAACCCCCCCCCCGTAAGACATAAGACCTCAGGATAGGGGTCTTTCTTTCTCCTGCAGCCTGTTGGTTGTAGGAGAGAGTAGGTGTTAGAGAGTGGGAAAAGTTGTGGAACAGAAAAAAGCAGGAGCAGAACAGTTATGCCCATAGGATTTGGGATCTCATTTTGCCCACTGTTTGCTTCGATCCATTTGTACCTTGGAAATTACTCCTGAGAGGATGCCTTGACTGGAAGGAAAAAAAAATCTGGCCCTGTTTTGCGGGTGACCCAATAGGCCCCATTGCTGAGGTTCCCAGTAGGAAGTATTGAAATCATTACATCTTGTGTCCTATGTTTAAAATCCATTATTTTGCAATAATGACTTGGCTCCTTACTGGGGATATACGAATAGGGAAGGATTCTTCAGCTTTTCCATGTCCTTCAAAATTAAAGAAAAAAATGGACTGTCCTTACAATGGCAATATTCCATCAGTACAAGATGAGGATTCCTGCATCCTTCACTGGTTCATTTTGAGCTATGTAGAAAAGATTTTCAGGGGGATCTCCAAACTGAGATATGTAACTGCCTATCTTAGCATTAAAGGTGTACAAAGGTAATTCTGGTGTCTCCCCCCCCCCCACATTTTTTCAGCCAGTCAGAGAGAGAAGAAAAGCAGTGAAAATGATGAATAGGAGGGCTACGCTATAATCCAGGCTGGCTTGATTTTGTGTTTACGTTAATCTATGTGCTGTGTAAAGAGAGGACGCAAATGTATAACTGAATGGAACAGAAGTCCCAAAATTACTTGCCTAGTTGAGACCAGATTCTAGCTTTAGGTGTGACATTGAAAGTGACTTGAAACAGGTTCATGGTCTGCATACTGGGAACAGAACCGTGGAGAGAACCCTCTGTGTATAAATGCCACGGGGGATATTTGAAAGAGAAGTGGAAAAAATGAACGCTGTGCATCAGCCTGCGATGAGAAAACATTTAAAATAGAATCCTGAAAGCAAATGCTGAAGTGGAGTGGCTAGGAAGTGGGGTAAAGAAATGGCAAAAAGAAGTCAGCACCTCTTTTTGTGGCTTCTGGAAGTCCTCTCTAGCCACAAATGCCAAAAATGGGGGGGGGGCAGAGTTGACTCTGAAACAAAACATACCCCTTTTAAATATGAAAGTATCCTCCTGGCAAAATGAAAATAAAACAAGCCTTGTCACTCTGCACCGAATGGTCCAGCTGGTTTTGCATCAATGACCCGGCATCAGTGATCCGCTTGGTCCACCAAAGTGTTACCCATCACCCAAAAGATGCCCCATCACCAGATTGCCAGTTTCTTACCTCTCCCTCCCTCCCTAAAGAGGATCAGAAAAAGCAGGAAATGAGAATTTAGAACTGACAGGAATTCACGTGGGAAATAGCATCTCATTGCAGAGAAGAAAGGAGAACATTGGAAGTTTAAAAAGCAGGAAGATTCTTCAATTAAAATGAAACTGATTTAGACCTGACAAGCCCATTTTAGTGTATTCACTAAAATACCCTCCTCTTTCCCCGCAATGCACTCCATAATTCTGTGTGTGGATTTCAAGGGGTGCTTTCTGTTCATTGTGATGGCTTATCTGAGGTTTGGCTTGAACGGCTTCCAAACTACTCTAGAAAGGAAGCGTCCGTTCACTTGTTTTCAAATGTTTTTCACATTAGGTTTCTTCCAGAATTCTGGATTTCTTCCAGTTGTTCTGAGATTTGTTACTGTTTGCCAGCCAAGCCAGTTTCCATAAGGGCTGAAGGGTGGGGACTTCTTGTAAGCCTCTGTATTCCTCAGCCATTGAAGTCGATCCTGGATTGCTAAGTGAGAAATGCAGTAATCAAGCAAGAGAGATCTTTCTTTTTGAAATATTTGCTGGTGAAGGTATTCAAGTTTTTCAGCTTCTTAAAGTGGATTACTATACAAGCAGGAATGATCCATCGGCTTGGGTTAAAACAGCAGAGGAAGCTTTTCTATAATTTAATGTAAGTACAGCTTGTGATGGTGGTGGGGAACGTTGAGAGAAAATGCAAGTATCCAGCCACTTAAGTTACTTAGGGGAAATGGCTCTTTTGTAAACATTTAAAATCTGGCATGCCTATCAAGACATTTTGTCTATGGCTTCTATATCTTGCCTCCTTTCAAAATGGAGAGGAGACACTGTTAGAAGCTTTATTTTTATATTTTGGTGGATGTGATTCATACTTTTATTTTTACCAAATAGGTGAGCAGTTACTGGTATGCAGAAGGGTTAGCAGCTGAACCAGCTAGGAGAACCCTCCAATTTTGGACCGAGGGAGGCTGCTTGTTGTGAGCCAAAGCGTGTGTGATGGTCAGAGGCACGGTATTCTGCGTGGGCAAAAGGAATACAGTATTGAGAATTATTAGTGGAACTCATGGAGACTTAGCCAAATAACCAGTTTAAAAAAGAAAAAAAAAAAGATGACCAGTCCTCTAAAGCTGAAGGCTAAGGATTATTATCCCATTGGTCCAAACTGGCACGTCAAATGGGAAGGCCCCAAAGGGGAAACAGGAATCGCAGTGAAGCTGTCACCTTGAATGAAGAGAGGTGAAAGTGGCTAAGGGCTGAACCTCAGTACCCAAACCCAGGACCATAGCCAACGGGACTCCCAGATGACCATCCAGAGCAGGGTTCCTCCACCTTGGCAACTTTAAGATGGGTGGACTAGCCAACGGGACTCCCAGATGACCATCCAGAGCAGGGTTCCTCCACCTTGGCAACTTTAAGATGGGTGGACTAGCCAACGGGACTCCCAGATGACCATCCAGAGCAGGGTTCCTCCACCTTGGCAACTTTAAGATGGGTGGACTAGCCAACGGGACTCCCAGATGACCATCCAGAGCAGGGTTCCTCCACCTTGGCAACTTTAAGATGGGTGGACTTCAACTCCCAGAATTCCCCAGCCAGCAAGGCTGGCTGAGGAATTCTGGGAGTTGAAGTCCACCTGTCTTAAAGTTGCCAAGGTAGAGGAACCCTGATCCAGAGGATGGCAAAAGATTCAGGCATTGTTAGCAGAGATGTGCCAAGCAGAGTCCTATCATGGCTGAGCCTCCCAGTTGCATTGCATTCATTTTTTTCCACATTTTAAAATCTTGTTATGGTTGGGGGATGCCTGGCTGCTCCTGATCACAGTTGGAGTGGCTCCTTTTATTTTTAAAATGTGTATTCTCAGCTAAGGGTGTTTCCTCACATCACACTGATACATGCTCAAAAGGAAGCTAGGGGTATAAGCAGAGCAATTGACGTTCCTTTTCCTTGCTCCCATCCTTGTTTGTTTTCTGAGCCAGCTTTATTTGTTTTGTGTTTCTTGTATTGTTACTTGTTTTTAAATGTTTTTAGCAATATGTAAGCCACCCAGTCAAGGAGAAAATCTATCTTTGTGGTTGCTAGGAGTAGGAAATGACTTGATGGCACATAACTGAGCAATCAAAAAACCATCAAAAGTCGCTGAGAGTTGGGTGGCATACAAATTTAACATTATTATTATTATTATTAGTAGTAGTAGTAGTAGTAGTAGTAGTAGTAGTTGTCCAGGCTCTAAAATTACCTGCCAAAATTACCTATGTAGCTAAATTATAAATTTACGTTGGAATCACCAGAGCCCTTACGCTGCATACGAGAAGGGAGGATTTTGCCCGGTGCTGCAGTTAGAACTTTCTCCCTGTAATTATTAAAGCAGGATCCTGAAGCCTGCAGGAGGAGCCCCCTTGGCTCCGTTCACACGAGCCACAAACCAGCCTCCCCACCTAGCCTGTTGCGCAATCCAGCCCAGGACCTTCCTCGTGAATCGGAGAAGGTGGAGCGCCCGCGGGGCGGGACGGGCGTGGCTGGGCGGAGGGGGCGGAGCTCGCTCGCTGTCCCGGCGGTCGCCATGGAGACGGGCCCCGCGGCCTGACCCGCAACGAGGAGCCTTCGGTCCACAGGGCCCAGCCTGACGTAGCGGGCCCCTCCCGGCATGAGGCGGGTGCATGGCCGCCCGGAACCACCGCTGAGCTGGAGGGGGGAAGGTGAGGAGAGGGGAGAAGCCGGGGCGTCTTAAGGGACGAGGAAGCGCACGGAGTATTTCCCTCTGGAAGCAGGAGACGCGGGGACGCTTCTCCCTGCACCTCGCCTGGAGGCAGGCTGCGGATCTTCCTCTCCTCGGTCTGGTGTTCTCCGCAGTAGCCGGCCCGGGACGACCGCGCCCGTCATCCGCAGCGGGCAGCAACCCACCCTCACTCGCTAGCTGCGGACGATGGACCAGTCGCCCCGGCTCCCTGGAAGGACGCTTCCCCGCTCTCCTCTGGAGAGAGCCAGGCGTTTCGTCGCCCCGTTTGTGGTTGGAAGGAGCAAAGGCTGGGACGGGAAGGGGCTTTTCGGTAGGAGGTGGATGGTGATCCCGGCCGAGGGTGGCTTATTGGGTAAGCCACCATTAAGCCGACGTGGCTTTGGGCAAGGGGTGTGTAAATGCCTTTTTAAAACTTTTACGTGGCCTCTCTCTACAGCCATGTTTCTCAATCTTGGCAACTTTAAGATGTGTGGACTTCAACTCCCAGAATTCCCCTGGAGAATTCTGGGAGTTGAAGTCCACACATTTTAAAGTTGCCAAGACTGAGAAATGCTGCTCTATAAGAAGGGCTGTCCAGACAAACTAGCAAATCAAGAGATTTCTCTTTTCTATCTCTCCTTTCCTAAGAAGAGGATCCTCTGTTACTTCTATCAATGCAGTACGGTAATTGGGACCGGCAATTTTGTTGCTGTGACAGGGTCGTAAAGTGCGATGTCACATGACCGCGCCAACTTTTGATGGCAGTTCCAGCAATCCCAGTTGCTGTTGTTAAGCACATCCTGAGCGGTTGTTAAGCGTGACATCAGGTGTTTGCTATTTGCGACCTCCTGCGGCTTCCTCATTGACTTTGCTAGTGGGAAGCTGGCAGTGAAGGTTGCCAGTGGCGATCATATGACCACAGGGATGCTATGACAGCCAAAACTTTGAGGACTGGTCGTAAGTCCCACTTGTTCAGCACTGTCGTAACTTCGAACAGTCATTGAACATGTGATTGTTAAGTGAGGACTACTTGTAAATCTGCAAGACAAGTATGGGCCACCACAAAGCCGTACAGGGGGGAAGGAAACTCCATTGAGCCCAGTGAAGTTTTTCAACCAGGCAGACCCGATGTGAAGTCCTTCACATTTATTAGATTACAGCTCCCATCATGTGCTTGTAGATCACTGCAACTACAGCTTCAGAGGCATTGAGAGTCAAGTGGCATACAAGTTTAATAAATTAGCATCATCATCATCATCCTCATCCTCTGAGCATGCAAAAGCTGCTTCAAGAGATAAATGACTTCCCCCTTTCTTGGGCATTCTAGGAAATTAATTTTGTGCTGTCCTTCTGGCATTCAGACAATAAATGTTTCAGCCAAAAGGCCTCTCTTCTTTAGTTTACAGTGCTTCCCTGGAAGTTCCTTGGTTGTCAACCTGTATGGACTTTTATATATTTTTCTTTTAGTTGATGGCCATAAAGAAGCACAAGAGTTGTGCTTGACTGAGTATTTTCAGTGTGGCTGGTGCTGAGATCTGGAAATATCCATCACCTATGTATTCTTTCCACTGCTTCTTTTCCCCCATTTCCCCATTCTTATATGAAGTTCTTGAACTGTTGTGATTTATGCACAAGTGCATTCATATTTTCCTTTGAACTGTTCTAGATAACTCACAACTTTTTATGACACGCAGGAGCTATTTCTCAGGGAGGAGCTTCAGTTTCCACTTTTTCTTGGCTTGGCACAGAAATCATTCTGGAACTTTCTTAACAGGAGATGCTGAAAAGTAGATTATTTCATGGATATTCCCTTCTTTATGAAGGATTCTTAATTGAAGGGAAAGGTGTTGTTTAGCTACAAGATCTATTTTCCAGATGAACAACAAAGGAAGCTAACCAAAGACTGCTGCTTGTAGGCAAGAGTATGTCTGTGCATGAAATGGTCAAGGATCATGAAGAACTGAAACATGCATGTGTGCATGTGCTTTAAATTCTGCTTTGTCATATAGGTGGCACTTACAGTATAATTCTAAAGGAAAATAAATGTTGCTCTCATCTAGAGGAGTCTGCTGTGTGTCAGCTTGGCCAGTGAAGATATTGGACAACTTGCCTTTTTCAGTTTTTGTAGCCCAGTTTCAGCTTCTAGAAAATTACAGTTACCATGTATTAGAATAGATAGGATTATTATAATGATAGCATGTTATACGCAACAAGCCGTTCACATTAACTTCTCCTCAGTGGGTAAAGATTATATAGGTCAAAGAACCCTATGAAAGATGTGAAATTGTTTTCTATTCCATTGGATTGTTTTGAAAGCAAATAACTTTTTTATGGTAGGAAATGGAATTTAAGCCTTAGGCAAAGCAAATAAATACACTCTTTCATATTTTCAAAAATGCTTCACTAGTTCTGATTTCTCTTATTTTTTATTTTACTTGCAGAGAAAGAGACTGTGGACCTTATGAGAACACTTTAAGAACTACATGATTGGATTAAGGGAGGCCTGAACTGTAAGATTGAGGCAATTTTCTTCAGGCTGGGGTAAGGGGAGTCATATGGTTTTCTAGTCTTACAAGTTTCAGTTAATTCAGATCTAAATGTGTATGTGGTGTTTTCACGTGTTTTCTGTTCATTTGCAGTGTGTATCATGTATGGTGGCGTATCGAATCTCCTGTTTTTCATTCAGGAGTTTTTGATGAAAACATACCAGACATACTCACATGAAAGTCATTTGTCTCCAGCACATTTGGTTCTGCAAAGAGCCTAGTGTTTCTTCTCTTTGTGGTTATTTATTAAAGTTTGAGCATAAAGAAGCGAGGTTCATTTCAAAACTTCCTTTGCTCCATGGGATAGGTTGCCATATTATAATGAAACAATCTCCCCCCCTCGCCCCAGTATACATACACACAGTATGTAATGTTGGATTATTGGGGAATGTGAAAAATGCCATACGATTTGTGTGTAGTTCAGAGCAACAACCTCTGAGCCCATTTGAGACAACAGTACACTTAATTTTATTTCCAATGGATAACTGAGCAGCTGCCGTTTTTAACAATTTACTTCTGGCCTAAGTCAGCCTCCAAAGACAGGCTGTGGCATTTGTATTTTGTCTAACTGGGCTGTCTTTTCTAAAGAAAACGATTTGGCCAGTGGTGTTGCATTACTCTCTCCTGCTCTTTCAAGAAGCTTTTCTGCACAGAATGTTCCACTTGCAGAAAGGTTTGTATTCTAAAGATGCCTTCTGCAGCCTTTTCAGTTAAAGGATGGTTTTTTTCCTTCCTCCTTTTCTATTTTCTACTTTTCTTCTTACGTACTGCAGATGAACATCTGCAGTAAACCACCTAATAAGACAGCCCCAGAGAAGACTTCTGAAGCAACTTTTGAGGTTCAGTCCCAGCATGCCCGGAGAAATGGCTGGAGCTGGCCCCCACATCCATTCCAGTTTGTTGCCTGGCTACTTTACTTCTTCTTTGCACTGGTTGGTTTTGGCATCCTTGTGCCACTCCTGCCCATTCATTGGATATCTGCTGGGTACATTGTATCCTTACGTCTTGCGACTATAGTTATTCTGAATCAAGGGTGGCACAAATGCAGTCATTTAGGAATGCTGAAAAACTTTCATTCGTAAAAATCGCTGAATGCTTCTGTCACCTCCTGTCTGCTTTTCTCCATTTTGTAAAGCTGCTGTGTTTAGGCCGTGGTTTCCCTTTTCATAATGAATATACACAATACCGCTTTTGTTAAAAGTTCAATCCTTTTGCTGTCAGAACACCTTTAATTGATACTATGCCTCTCCCATGCTTTTTCTGGGCTCCTGTGAAGAAGCAATGATTTGCATCTTTCAAGCTAGCTGGCATCATTTTTTTTAAGTGGAAGGATTTTTAACTGATGTGGCATCCTTTTACGTAGAACCTTGAAATGTGAATGTCAATAAATCTGAGAGACAAGCCTTAACTATGCACACTTCAGTGTCCTGGAGTCTTCTTTCTCTGCCATCTAGTAGTTCACCTTACAGCAGTTTCCATTGACCCAGCTGATGACAGTGTGCGAAAGAAGAATTACCAGGGGCCACTTACTGTGTTCAATCGCAGCCAACATGCTCATGTCATTGAAAATCGTCACTGTCACATCTGTGATGTCGATGTGTGAGTATTTGTTTTGCCTTCCTTATTTGAGTTGTGAGTTAATTGCAGCAATTCCTTTCTCAGGCAACAGTGCTAGAAATCTCAGAGAAAACTTCCAAGTACTTTAATAGCTATTGGTATTATGCCTTAGTTGACTGTCGTCTTGGACTGTGATAGAACTGGCTGGATTCACGTCATGTTGAACCATAATATGGTTTGTTTGGTTTTGGTTAAGCATGTTATGTAAACACAGTCATTGTATTTTGTAAACTATGACTTATGTTTTCCTCTGTTGTATGAACCTAGCCAGTTTGTTTATTCAATAAGTCATGATTAAACAAACAGTTTAGCATAATGGATGACTCAACCATGACCTTGTGAATTAAATAATCACTTGTGGTCTTAAACAGTGCACACAGCAGTGCCTTTTTTCTCCTTCTCTGTGTCTTACCTCCATCATCAGTTCAAATAAAATAATACAGCTACAGCCAAGACTTTTTAATTTAGCTCAGTTCTGTGTTTCAGCTCTCCCTTCCTCTTACCTGATGCCAGGGCACTAAATTGTGCTGGTCACAAGAGATCATTGGCAGTGCAGAATGGCTGACAAAATTGTTGGTGCTGAATCATTTTGTAAGACTTGCTGTTTTCACAATAGACTAACATTTCTGCATTGATGTGTTGGTTACAGGCTGAAAGACACAGGCTAGAACAGTCTTACTTAGAAGTGCAGACTTGGTGAATGAAATCAGCAAATAAAAGCACTTAATTCTGTGAACTCCCATGCATTTTAATGAAATTATTCTAAATGTAAGAATAGGCTTAATTGGAAACAAGGTGGAATTCTCCCATGGAATCAAGTGCATTAATTAGTTTTTTCCTCTTTTATTTTTTGGTACAAATCTAATTTAGCATCCCAAATTAGTCTGGGGAAACAACTGCAGAGTATAATTAGCTCTGTTTTTTCTTCCTGTTTTATTGTTAGGAGCTCCAGATCAAAACATTGTGGGACCTGTAACAAATGCGTATGTGGATTTGATCATCACTGCATGTGGCTCAACAACTGTGTGGGAGAGAGAAATTATTGGTATGGGTCTTATCTATCACACATTAGCCCATGAAACAAAGCCTGTGTACATCACTTGAACAAATCCAGCACCTTGTTTTACAGAGGGCTTCAGCCTCCACAGCCCACATACCATTTTCCCATTTTCGAATTGCATGACATTATAGGGAATGTACTTAAGATCATAGTTAGAAATATGTTCAATATATGCACCCTATTTAGAAGAGCCCTCCAGAATTTTAGAGCCTTGTATTTGGGACTTCTAATCCAGATGCTTGTTTTGATTCTTGGCTGAGACACATAGATGTTCTGTTGGTTGACCAATAAAAACTAAATGTTATGTTCTTTTTGTAATATTGAGGTGAACTACATCAGATGTGATAGAAGTGATTAGTTATACGTAGACTACTCAAATTCTAACAGAGTTCCACTCTAGAATATGCTAGATTATAGACTAGGCTGTCTCTCTCCAGCCTTTATGGGAGTCCTTACTCTTTTCTTCTGAGCTAGACCAGCAAAGTAGTGTTGGAGAGTCAGGCAGGAGTGTAGCCCTAACATTACATCACCCAGGGATAGGAATGGCACATTTTCTTTGCCACAGATTCTCATTGCTAGGTGTGGCAGCCATGGCTGCAAATTGACTTCTGTTGTGTTTCATTATGAAAATACTAAAAGTTCCTCTGTTTTCTTGACAGGCTGTTTCTCAACAGTGTAATATCTGCCATCCTGGGCCTTCTCCTAATCCTACTCGTTGCTTTCTATGTCTTTGTTCAATTCTTCCTTGATCCCATGAAGTTACGCACTGGACAGCACTTTGAAGGTACCTTTCTACATCCTGCATGGAGGAACTACCTCATGGCAGTTTCTCCTTTGTCTCCTTTGATCTTCTTGGTCAGAAGCACTGCTATTAATAAATATCCAAACTATCAAGCACTGTTACACACATAGTTTCTAAGAAAAGATATCCAAAGTTTAGGCAACTTAGATATAGCCCCGTGGCTTGAGAGCCCATTAAAGTGTTTTGCACTAATATGGCGTGGAGATTCAGCCCCACCTCCCTTTTTTTTTGTCTATCTCCTTTTCTAGGCTTGAAGAACCAAACAGATGTCTGGTTTGTGTTCCTTCCTGCTGCTCCAATTAAGACACAAGCACCTGCAATTTTGACTTTGGCTGGTGTGCTGATTCTTCTGGGGTTATTGACTCTGTTCCTGTTGGGCCACCTGTTAGTCTTCCATATTTATCTCAGTAGGTATCACTTACATATATACACTTTCACACTCTCTGTGTGAATGTAGCTAGAAGCATTTTGTCTTATTTATTTATTTATTTATTTATTTATTTATTTGGCTTGTATGCCGCCCATCTCCCCCATGGGTGACTCTGGGAGGCTCACAATAAAAACGAAGAAATACAATTCTCTCCAAGT